TGCTATGGGGATAAAGTAAGGTATCACTGACAAATAGCTTGGAACAAAGCTTGGCACATAGTAAGCACTCAATAAAATCTTAAGTATTATTATTGATAGCATCGTCATTCAATGTACTTTTCCAAACTAGTCATGATAAACTCTAGGGAGTTTAAGAATGGTTCCAGGATATCTAGATTACTTTTTCTTCTACAGCCTAAAAGAAGCTATCTAGCCAGGCATAAACCCCTCCTCACAACCAGGAGTGAACTGAACATCTCCACTGCCCCATTCTCCTTAGAGGTGTCACATTCTCCTTGGTCTCAGCTCTCCAGTCTGGTATGCATGAGAGCCGGGGGCTGGGAGTCAGAGAGGCCAGGTTCAGAATTAGCCTCTGTCATTTTCTAGCTGTGTGACTTTAGGCAAGTATCTTCAACTCTCTGAACTCCTGCTTCTTCATTCACAAAACAGGGTTGAAGTTTCTACTTTGTGTGACTGTTGAGAGGGTTCAATATAATTTCTATAAATCATCTACTCTAGTGTCTGGCATATAATAGGTGTGAAATAACTCACTATTATTATCACTAGTAATTAAGCCAGGTAGTGCCAGCTTCTTTCCCAGGTACACTCAGCCTCTTTTCCCTCCCCACATCTGCTACCCCATGGCACCTTCCTCCAATGCCCTTAAGACATCAGAAATGCTAAAACATATGGGGAATGTGGAGGACTCTCAGTGTAGAGGTTAAGCTCCCAGATTCATCCCCTGCTACTCCTGAGGTCCTTCACAAGGAGGGCTTGGAAAGAAGAAGCTGACCCCTCATTTCTCCAGGATTCTCCTGCATTCTCTGTTTCCTAAGGACGTGAAATGTGACATCTTCCCTGACTTCTCCCCATAGGCAGCCCCGGTTACACGAGTGTCCACCTTAGACCATGAGGACAAGACCAGGTGGGCAAAAAGGTGAGGTGGGAGCGAGGGAGAAGGGCTGAGAGTCCCTAAAGAGATGGACTAGGCTAGAGAGAGTCCAGGGTCTAGCTGGAAGAGACAGTCAAGAGAAGGAACCAGCCCAGTCACACTGAGGTTGAGAGATGGACGCTCCTGGAGGAAGTCTGGAGTCCTCACCTAGGACTGTGTGGGGGGGGGGGTGCGGGGTGACCTCAAGGGCAGAGCGGCCATTGGCTGCTCCATCTGTCAATCAGAGCCAGCCAATGGGAAGTAGGCTGGGGCGGGTCATATGTGGAGCCCTGTGCTCTAATTGCGAGGCCTCTTCTCCACTAGGAAATGCGCTTCTGACTTCTCCTTTTCCTTAGCTCGACGCTCACGGCACCACCAGAGAAGATGCAAAGATGACCATTGCCAGTGACGGGGAAATGGAACAACCTATAAGTGCCCAACAACCAGGAATGGCTTAAATGGACACAGCACAGGCTGAGCTAGTCTGTAATGGTTAGAAACCACGCTGGAGAAAGGTGCTCACTGATGCAGGAAATGCTTACGACTCATGGTTAGAAACGCATAATGTAAAGCTGCTCCTGGTAGGACCATCGTTATGAAGAGGGGAGATTAACTAGCTGATATAATATGTACAGCATGTATGAAAATATGGAAAATGTCAACTATTAACAGTCTTATCTCTTAATTTCCTTTTTTGCACTTTACTGTATGTTCTAAAGTGTTTTTTTTTTCCCCCTCACAAAATGTGTGAACTGTTTTTATAATCAGGAAAAAAAAAAGTTATGGGCCCAGCAGGCTTCATTGTGCTGTTCTGCTCGACTAAAACCCAATGAAGTTAAAACACCACCAACAGGAAGAACCAGCTAGGGTTTTTAGCACCTCCTGCCCCACCTCCCCCAGCTAAGTCTGAGCCCGGGGCTGACCAGCGGTGTCTTCTGAATCATCTTCAACGTGTCCAGGCAGATTGAAAATAGGTGTGTGCGTGCTTATGTATCTCGGTGCCATTTCTATATGTTCTGCCCACGAATTTGACTTTTTGCGTGGTCTCTGTGCTCACTTATTTAACCACTATATTATGTGTCAAAATGCATAGATTCACAGATATTTCCAAGCCACCTCATCTGAATGACGGAAAGCCAAGCACATCCTGAGTTAACCACTGCATATACCCATCGACAGAGGTGGACATTATACTATTTCTATATTTAAACCTGTATCTCCCCACCTTAGAGTCTTAAGTAGATATGGCTGTTGAATTTTACCCAAAGCCTTTTCATTATTGTTAAAATTTTGTATTATATTTTTGTCGAAGGTAGGTTTACACACAGTAAAATGCACAAATCTTACATGTATAATTCAGTGAGGTTTGATAAATACATACACTCATATAACTACTATCCCAGTCAAGATATAGGATGTTTTCTGCACCCCAGAAAGTTTCCTTGTGCACCATTTAAAGTTATTCCGCAGCCACACACCCCCAAAAAGAGGCAGCTGCTTTTGTGAATTTCTGTCCCAATAGATTAGTTTAATCTGTTCTTGAACTTCATCTAAGTGGAATTATAGAGTATATTCTTTTGTACCTGGCTTCTTTCACTCAACATGTTTTTGAAATTCATTCATGTTCTTACATGTGCCAACTGTTCATTCTTTTATTTTGATGAATAGTATTCTGTTGTTTGGCTATAATACTTTGGTTATCTACTCACTTGTTGATGGACATTTTGTTGTTGTTGTTATTGTTATTGTTGTTGATGGGCATTTGAGTTGTTTCTACCTTTGGTTATTATGAATAATGCTGCTATAAATATATACAAATGTTTGTGTGGACCTTTGCTTTCATTCTTCTTGAGTAAAAATTAGGGGTGGAATTTCTGGGTCATAGAGTGGGTATATTATGTTTAACTGTATAAAAAACCACCACACTGTTGTACAGAACACACAATTGTACTATTTACATCCCACCAGAAATATTCAAGTGTTCCAATTCCTCCACACCCTCTCAACATTTGGTGTGCTCAGGCTTTTTGATTTTAGCCTTTCTAACAGATGTGATAAGGCATCTCATTGTGATGAATTTTCATTTCCTTGATGTCCAGTGGTGTTGACCACCTTTCATGTACCTGCTGGCCATTTGGATCTCTTCTTTTGTGAAATATATGATTGAGTCTTTTTTCCCATTTTAAAAATTAGGTTATTGTGTTATTAACTGGTAATAATTCTTTATATATTCTAAGTTCAAGCCCCTTTTCAGGGATATATATTATATATATAATATATATATAATATATATATATATTTCTTCCAGTTTATGGCTTGCCTTTTCATTTTCTTAATCATGTTTTTTGATGAACAGAACTTTTTAATGAAAAGTATATATATAATGCTTACTGTTGTGGATGTCCTATGAGAAATCTTTGCATACCCATAGATATTCTCCTAAATTTTCTTCTAGAGCAATTCTGTCTGATAGAAAAATAGTGCAAGCCAAATATGTAATTTCAAAAATCTAGTAGCTATAATAAAAAAAAGTGAAAAGAAACTGGTGAAATTACTTTGAATAATAGTGTATTTAACCCAATATATCTAAAATATTATCATTCCAGCAGGTAATCAATATTAAAAATTATTAATGAGATCTTTTATCTCTTTTTTTTGCACAGTAAATGTAGCACATATTTTAAAAAAAAGAACTTATCTATTTGAGAGAGAGAGAGCGAGAGCGCAAGCAGCGGGGAAGGAGCAGAGGGAGAGGGACAAGCAGACTCCCTACTGAGCGAGCCAGACGCAGGGCTCTGTCCCAGGACCCTGAGATCACAATCCTAGCCGAAACCAAGAGTCGGTTGCTCTAAATGACTGAGCCACCCAGGTGTTCCTAGTGTAGCATGTCTTAAATGTCATGCGTGGCTAGTAGCTACCACACTGGGCAGCACAATTATAAAAACTTTATAGTTTTCACTTTTATGTTTATGATTCCTCTCAGACTAATTTTTTGCATGTGACATGAGAAAGGGGTCAAGGTTCATTGTTTCCAAACCTTGACCCACTTGTTCTACTGCCATGTGTTAAAAAGTCCCTCCTTGGGACGCCTGGGTGGCTCAGATGGTTAAGTGTCTGCCTTCGGCTCAGGTCATGATCCCGGGGTCCTGGGATTGAGCCCCACATCGGGCTCAGGGAGCCCGCTTCTCCCCCTCCTTCTGCTTCGCCCCCTGCTCATGTTCTCTCTCTCTCTCTCTCTCTCTCTGTATCTCTGTGTCTCAAATGAATACATTTAAAAATCTTTAAAAAAAAAAAATAAAAAGTCCCTCCTTTCCCAATTGAATAGACTTGGACCTGTTCAATTAACTATATATACACACTCTATTTATGGACTCTATTCTGTCTCTTACCACAGTGTCTTCATTACTCTAGCTTTATAGTAAAGTCTTATTTCTCCAACTGGTCTCTTTTATCAGACTGTTTTTGCTGTTCTAGGTCCCTCACATTTCTATGTAAACTTTGGAACCAACTTGCCAATTTATGTGTGTATCCACATGTATGTACTTACACGTTTGGGAACCTTCCTCATATGTTTGGTTTGTCTCTATAGGGAGATTGTCTCTATAGGCAGAGATCATGTCCCACTGTTTGATTCCCTTCTGAACCCAGAAGTCTACCTCCTGAGCTTGGCTTTCAAGAACAGAGGCAGAGGAAGGCCTGGTGGAAGGGTGTTCCAGGAGGAGGCATGTCAGCAGGCCAGAGTGAGGGCTGCTGCTGGAACCCTCCAGAGTCAGGGAGACTTTTCTGCTCAAAGCACAGGGATCCGGCATGTGGTTAGCATACACTTTGTGCCAAGAGCTCTGACAGGATTTTCCTACTATAATTCTCACCACAAACTTGCAGTTAGGGCTTCTCATCCCTGTTTCACAGAGCAAGAAACTGAGGCGTGGAAAGGTAGGGATTGGTCTGTCGCTTACTTAGTAAAGGGGCGGTGTGTGACTTTGCACTTGAAACTCTCTGTTTCCAAAGCCTATGTTCTTTCCACTGTACTTACAGCTCATCACCTGCAGGCCTTTTAATCCTACAGGAATCAGCCTCTGGCCTTTTCTTTGCCCCTCAGGGGCCAAGATCCCTCAATCCAGGGCTGGGTCTCAGCACGCTCTTACTTGTGAATCTTGATCTCCAAGTACTCGATACCAGTAGCCACCTGTTCCTGCCAGCCCCAAGGCTCTGTCCCATGAAAGCTGAGGGGTGCATAATGGAGCTCTTCTTCCTCCCCTGAGGAGGGGGCAGCTGCATCTGGGGGAAGGCTGCCTGCCCAGGATTCAATCAGGGGACCCTGGAGTGGAGGGAGAGAAAAGGGAGTCAGAGCAGATCGGTGGGGAGGCAGAGAGTACCTGGGAGGGAAGCCCATGAATTCATTCATCCATTCATCCCACACACATTTTTGTTGAATCTCCTCCATTCATACTGTCCTCAAATATTTAAAACGTAGTACTTTATTTGGCGCTTGTGAATCTCATTAACTTCCCAAAACAACCCTATAAGGAAGATATTATTATTGTCCTCATTTCATCACTGTGAAAATGGAGGGTGAACCAAGGAAGTAGCATGCTCAAAATCCCTGGTGAAACCAGGGTCCAGTCCAAGTTCTTCCTGACCCCAAAGCCTGGTGTCCTACTGAGGCCCTCTGTGCATGAGGCCCTGAGCTAGACACTGCATATACTATAATGGATACAACAGATGTAACCCCTGATCTCTGGCAACTTACTCTTTTTTTTCCCCCTCGCAGCTTACTTTTTAACCCAGGGAGGAGGCAAGGAGTGAGTTAAACAAATAAATATCTAATTGTGAATTATTATATAATGGATGGGAACTGGGTGAGGGAGAGAGAATTACAAAGCCTTGATTCGGCTAAGGACAGCACCTGTCCTTAGGAAGCTCGCAGTTTCGTGGAAGGACAGTCAGTCAAAGAAATTATGTCCCTGTGATACAGGCAGAAAAACAGCCCCTCAAAAATGCCCATGCCCTAATCCCCGGGGACCTATGAATATGTTACCTTATATGGCAAAAGGGACTTTGGGGATGGAATTAAATTAAGGATATTGAGATGGGGAGATTGCCCTGGATTATTTGGGTGTGGTCAATGTAATCACGGGGGTTTTTCTCTTTAAAAGTGAGAGGAGGCAGAGAGGGATTTGAAGATGCTTCTGGCCTTGAAGACAGAGACCAAGGCCATCCAGCTGCCTCCAGAAGCTGGAAAAGGCAAGAAATGCATTCTCCCCTGGAGCCTCCACACGGAATTCAGCCCTGCCTACCAACACCTTGACTTTAACCCAGTGAAACCCATTTTGGACTTGGCACCTCTGGAGCTGTAAGATGATAAAATTATGCTGTTGGATGCCACTAAATGTGTAAGAGCTCATTACTGCAGAGCAGCTGGGGGGGCGGGGGGCCATCTGTTTCCACTGCCCCCTCAAAAAGAGAACACTTTAACAAAACAGTTCATGTTTTTGCTCCTCCTGTTCTCTCTTGATTATTGAACGTAAGATTCACACACACACACACACACACAACCACTTCCTGACACTGTAGTTATACAGACCTCTGCTCAGTGAAATCTAAATGGTTCCTTTTCACTCCCTGCCTTTCTGGACTTTGCAACAGCAGGTGACCCTGTTGCATGTCTTCCCTAAATAAAAGCCTTTCTTTTCTTAACCACAAGATATTCATCAACTGCCCTGGCAGCCACTTTGCTAGTTGCTCTGCATTTCCTGACCCCTAAGTATGAGAGGGGCCCCAGACTCTGCTTCTTCAACTTCACTTTGTGATCTTATTCACTCTATTGGCTTCATGTCATCTATAGGCTAGTGGTTCCCAAAGCCTTACCCACCAGTCCATTCCCTTTCTTGAACCGTGGACTTTGATCTGATGCTGTGGTTAAAATCCCTGTCCTCTTTTGTGTCCAAAACGCACACCAAACATATTCAAACTGAACTTCTCCTTTTCTCCCCCAGATCTCTTCCTCCTACAATCTTCTCAAGCACAATGATTGATGCCTCCATTCTTCTAGCTGCTCAGTGCAAAAATCTAGGAGTCATCCTGGACCCCTTTCTGTCACTCCTAACCCACCCTCAATCCATTAGCAATTCCTATTAGTTTTAACTTCAGACTTCATCTGGAATGCAATCATGCCCCACCCTCATGCCATCCTGGTTCTGGTCACCATCATCTCCTGCCCGGAATGTTCCTCCAGCCGCCTTTCTAACTTCCATGCTACACATAGTCTCTTCTTACACACAGCAGGCAGAGGGATCTGTGAAAATGAAAGCTGGATCATGTCCTTCTTCTGCTCAAATATCTCCAGATGCCCACAGTGGACTACGTGTGCAGACATGATTTACACATACCCTGACTTCTCCAAACTCATTTCCTGCCTGTTGGCACTTGCCTCCCTCTGTCTAATTACACAGACTTCCTTCTGGTCCTCCACTCACTGGTCTGCATCCTGTTTCTGAGCATTTGAACCTGCTATTTCTTCTGCCCAGAGTGCTCTTTGGTCACAATAGATTGTGAAGTCTTGAGGCTCCTTCATGTCTTTGCTTAATCATCACTAATAAAAACTACAAACCAACCTATGTAATGGCAGAGAATGTTTGCAAATCATATATCTGAAAAGATGTTAATATCCAGAATGTATAAAGAACTTCTACAACTCGGGGCGCCTGGGTGGCTCAGACGGTTAAGCATCTGCCTCCGGCTCAGGTCGTGGTCCCAGTGTCCTGGGATCGAGCCCCGCAACAGGCTCCCTGCTCGGCAGGGGGCCTGCTTCTCCCTCTCCCACTCCCCCTGCTTGTGTTCCCTCTCTTGCTGTGTCTCTGTCAAATAAATAAATAAAATCTTTAAAAAAGAAGAACTTCTACAACTCAACAACAGCAACAACAAAAAACCCCCAAATAACCCAGTTTTTTAAGTGCATAAAAAACCTTGAATTAGACATTTCTCCAAAGAAGATATACGAATAGCTAATAAGCCTATGCAAGACACTCTCCATTGCTAATCATTAGAGAAATGCAAATCAAAACTACAATGAGATATCATCTCACACCCATGAGGATGTCCACTATAAAAAGCAAAAAATAGGGGCACCTGATGGCTCAGTCAAGCATCTGCCTTCGGCTCAGGTCATGATCTCAGGATCCTGGGATTGAGCCCCCTGTCAGGCTCTGCACTCAACAGGAGTCTGCTTCTCTCTCTCTCACCCTCTGCCCCTCCTCCTCCACTAGTGCTCTCTCTCTCAAATAAATAAATAAAATCTTTTTTAAAAAGGCAAAAAACAAACAAACAAACCAACTGTTGGTGAGGATGTAGAAAAAATGAACCTTTGTGTATTGTTGGTGGGAAAGTAAAATGGTGCAGCCACTGGGGAAGACAGTATGGTGGTTTCTCAAAAAAATAAAAATGAAAACTCCCATGATCCAGCAATTCCACTTATGAGCAATTATCAAAAAAACTTGAAAGCAGGCTCTCAAAAAGATATTTATATACCCATGTACATTGCAGCATTATTTACAATAGCTAGAGATGGAAGTAACCTTAATATCCATCAGTAGATGAATGGATAAAGAAAATGTGCTGTATACAAACAACAGGATATTATTCAGTCTTCAGAAAGAAGGACATCCTGGGGCACCTGGGTAGCTCAGTTGGTTGAGTGTCTGACTCTTGATTTCAGCTCAGGTCATGATCTCAGGGTCATGGGGTTGAACCTCATGTTGGGCTCCATGCTCAGTGGGGAGTATGCTTAAGATTCTCTCCCTCTTCCTCTGTCCCTCCCCACTCTTGCATGCTCTCTTGCTCTCTGTCTCAAATAAAAAATAAATAAATCTTTAGAAAGAAGGACATCCTATCACAGGCTACAACATGGATAAACTTAGAGGACATAACGCTAAGTGAAATAAGCCAGTCACAAGAAGACAAAAACTGCATGATTCTACTTATGTGAGGTATCTAAAGTCATTGAACCTACAGAAACAGAAAATAGAATGGTGGTTGCCAGGGGTTGGAGTGGCAGGGGAAGTGGGTAGTTGTTGTTCAACGGGTACTTATAGAATTTGTTTTGCAAGATGAAAATGTTCTGGAACTCTGTTGCACAACTGTACGTTTAAAGAAGGCTGGGTGGTAAATTTACCACAATACATAAAGAACAACAACAACAAAAATATGAGCCATCTCCCCAGCATTCCCAGTGTCTGTGCCCTGCATTTTCCCCAAAGTACATGTCTGTCCTTCACATTGTAGTCACTTATTTGTTGTTTGGTTGTTTGTTTGATTGGTTGGTTGTATCCCTCTGTCTAGACTAAAACTTATTGAGCCCAAGATGATTTTTTTCTTTTTTTGTTTTTAGGATTTTATTTATTTGACAGATAGAGCTAGAGAGCACAAGGGGGGGAATGGCAGAGGGAAAGGGAGAAGCAGGGAGCCCAATGTGGGGCTTGATCCCAGGACCCTGGGATCGTGACCTGAACCAAAGGCAGATGCTTAACCCTCTGAGCCACCCAAGAACCCCAAAAATCTTTTTCATAGATGAATCTTTGGCAGCTGAAATGCCTTTCACTTGGCAGGTGCTCAGTAACATTTCCTGAACGAATTAATGAATGAAAGCATGCACGGTACTTTGCTCAAAATCCTCCAAAGGCTTCCAGTCACACTCTGAATATAAATGGATGAAAAGTGTAACATTTACATTGGAGCATGAAGGCTGAACAGGAATGAAGAAGTGGAAATGGGAGGGAAAAGCATTTGAGGAGAAAGGAAAAGCCCATGCAAAGACCCAGAGACACAAATAACCTTGTTCAGAGGAGTGGATGGAGTAGAAAGTAAGAGTGACTTTCTGAACCATTTGGAGCTTGAGACCGAAGAAAACATGTGTGCCCCTAAAAAATGTTTTTGTATATTTTTAACGGTTATTTTTTCACAACATTAAAATAATTGAAATATTATTGCAAACTTAAAGAGTGTGTGTAATAAAACATTACTTTCAGTTTAAAGATTTTATTTATACCCAAACCAGAATTTTTGATAATTTTGCTTTTCTGGTTTTACCGGAAGCAAACGTAGAGAGGACATTTTTTAAAATCAACTTCTCTGCTTCTCTCATTTTTATTTGAGAATGCTGCCATGTTTGACAATTTCTGTAGACTCAATTATGATCTTAAATAATTTTTAACCTTAGTCTACTGATCCTGTCATTGTTTAGGTTTTTTGTACTTTCCTCATCATGGATTTTTTGCCTTAATTTTTATTTTTAAAATAGTATATTAAAACATTATCTGGATTACTGAGATTTTTGAGCACCACCTTAAGTTTTGCATCTGGGACAAGTTCCTCCCTCACTCCACCCTAATCCTAGTCCTTCTGGACAGGTAGGTGTGCTTAAGAGGTTGGAATATGCAGGGCTATAGGGTAAGGAGTTTGGACTCTATTCTCCGGGTGAGGGGTCCACAAACCATAGCCCATGGAGCAAATATGGCCCACTGCCTGTGTCTGTAAAAAAGTTTTATTGGAACACATCTGTGCTTGTTCATTTACACATGGTCTATGGCTGCTTTCACTCGACAACAGCAGAGTTGAGTGCTTACAATAGACCGTAATGCCTGCAAAGCCAAAAATACCTATCTGGCCCTAGATTAGAAAAAGTTGCCAACCTCTGGTCTAGACAATGGAGGCAAGCAGTTCAAATGCAGAGGAACTGGATAGTGTTGGTTTTTAAATGACTGCTTAGTGTAGGACAAGGGAAGTGAGAGGCAAGGAGGTGAGGGGGTCCAGGGAAAAGATTCTGAAGCTTTGGCAATGATGGGAGTCAAATGGGGGGGCTGATGCTAGCTCTCCTTAAGAGGAAAAATAGACGAGACGTGGTGAATTTGGGGCTGTAGGAGAAGAAAGGGAGGGCAGAGAGAAGGTGACTCCTCCATGCCTGGCCTGAAAGAAAGAGGAGGGGGTGGTTGTGCTGTCACAAAGATGGGGAATCCTTAAGGAGGAGGAGGAGATAAGGAGAGAAAATTTGGCCATGCAGAGAGGAGCAATCCTGGGGGCCATCCTGGGGGGAGGTGTCCAGAAAGGATGCTCAAAGGCAAGATGCCCAGGTGACTCACCTGAGAGACTGACCTTGTGACATTTGCACCTTCCATGACCATATTCCTGATGCCAACTGCTGGCCTTGTGGCTTTCTTCCTGCAGGACCTCGCTCTGAGAGAAGAGACCAGAGAGCCTTTCAGTGTGGCCAGCTCAGGGTGCTGTAGGCAGACTAACTCCCTCCTCTGTTCTCTCTTAAGGGGCTGGAAGGGTGATGGAGGTAGGAGAGCAGTGGTCCCGTTCTGGAGACCCCAGTGTTGAGAATGCAGCCTTCCCCATCCTGGACAGGGGGGCAGAGTTCTGTGACAGACTCACCCAGGGGCCATCGACTTCCTTCCTGCCTTTGCTTCAGGGTCTTGACCCATCCAGGTCCCTCCACTCTGTGCCTGCCTGCCCTTTCCACCCCAGGACAATCCCTCCAACCCCAGGGTCAATGCTTACGTGATGACGATGATGGAGAGAAACAGGAAGAGCAGAGCCATAACACATGCCCCCCCAGCTGCCCCCAGCATCCTCTCTGAAAAAGGCCATACTTTTCCTGCAGACAGATTGGATTATTGGTCATTCCTCTCCAAGAACTCGGTACCTTCTCCCACTCCCTCCAGGACCCTGATTCCTGTTTTCCAGCCCCTCCGCCAGACTCCAAACAGGGGCACCTGGGTCTTGGGGAAGCGATTAGGGCCCGGTGAGGGAGGCATACAGGGGGCGGGGGGGTGGTTTGGATTGCAGCCTGTCTTTATTTAAAATGCAGGTATTTCATTCATGGTAATATTTATTTTGCATTCATTTATATTTTTAAAAAACACTGCATTGCAGTATTACTTCTCATTACTAAGGTTTTTTGGCTTCTCCTTAAATTTTTGTGCTCATGGTGAGCGCTTCACTTGCCTCACCCTCCTCCCTGCCCCACAAATCAAGGATCTGTGTCCCCAGACACACCTGTGCAGGCCCCAGCCCCTCTCCTTCAAGACCCACATCCTTCCCCCTGGCTTCCCCTCCCTGCTTTCACCCCACCCTACCGCCCTGATCTGGCAGGAAGAAGACAGTGAAACTATAGGTGGCAAGGAATATCTTGGACTCACAGGGGAGCACAGACCAGAACTGAGCTCCCTTGTAAGGCTCGGGGGCTCCTGGGGGTCCTGAGGGTGGTGCTGTTGTTCTCCTCCAGCCCCCCCCCCCCACAGGTGCACTCACTCTGCAGGGAGAGCCTCAGGGAGACATGCTGGGAGCCCATCAGGTTCTGAGCTCAGCAGGTGAATTCCCCTTCATCTTTCTCCTATACTTGAGGCAGCTCCAACACCCCAAGGTTCAAGGGATTTGAGGAGCACAGGGTCAGGCTCTCCCGGGCCCAGCTCAGCCTGGCACGGGGGTTGCTGTTGACAACACAGACCAGGAGCAGGGACTGGTCCTCCAGGACTGAAAGAGATGAGCCATTCTCCAGGGTTGTGGGTGCTGGAGAAAAAGAGACAGAGGGTCAGAGAGACAAAAAGATGGAGAGAAAGCGGAAGGACTTGAAAACAGACTGGATGAGGGGACAGACAAACAGAAGTAGGTTGAAGTGCAGGAAAAAGCATGCTTTTTTCCCCTTGTTGGTGGGAATGCACACTTGTCCACCCTCCATTCAGGACAACTGGCCACATACCTCAACTTGGAAAGAACATAAAAGCTACATTTTGCTTTTAGGAGTTTATCCCACAGACATACATATGCACAGTTGGGAAGGGAGACACAAGATTACTCATTGCAGCTTTTTGGCTAATAGAATAAAATGAATGCTGTGATTTTCCATTAGGAGAAGACACGCATAGAATCAGAATCCATCCATGGGATGGATCAACTCCACAGTCTAGGAGAAGATGGAGGGCAGTCTGTACTATTGATATCAGAGGACCCTCAGATCCTCTAGGCAAACACACTAAGGCTTAGAGCAGTCCATAGACACGGGTCACTTTCCAGGAGGGGACTGGGTATCTGAGGACAGATTCTGCTGTGCATTTTGAAAGTCTGTCTCTGTGAATATATTACCTGTTCAGAAGTACATAAATAAGCAATTATTAGGGAGAATAAAAGACGGGCCAGGAGGAGTCATCAGGAGATGCATGTTAAGGGGCAGGTCTGCCGGGTGCATGTTGCCCTGTTCTCTTCTCCTGATAATGGAGGGGGGAGAGTGCGGAAGGTGGGGGAGGAGGCGGCTGAAGGGGACTGCTGCTCACAGAGCCATGGAGGCTGGGGAGGAGGATGACCCTTGGGTTCACCCACAGTGGGGAACCGGCCCTGCCCTTGCTCCGCACACCCCAGGAGGAAGCTCATTCTACCTGTGCCATTTCCTTGGGAGACAGTTACCATCAAGTTCTGCGGAGAGTCTGGGACAGAAAGACATGGCGGATTCATGTTAATGGGGAGGGCTGGTGGACATTGGCCTTCTGTCCCCAGGAGCTGCATAAATGGGGAAAGAGTGGAAACAGGTGGCCCCCTGACCCTCTCCCAGCCTGGATTTTGGGACCAGCATTCAATGTCCCAGGCCCTGACCCCCACCCCACTGCCCTCAGGACCCCATCAGGGACCCAGGGGGTCCTGGCCTGGCTCTCACAGGACACATTGAGGTGGATGGTCCTCATCGTGGTCACTTTGGCCCCAGGCAAGGTCACTTGACAGGTGAGGAGCATGCCATGGTCCTGGGGCCGTGGGGTGAGGGTGAGCACTGAGGAGAGGTGGGTCCTGGGGCCCAAGGAAGTGAGGGACACTGATGTCCAGGAGAAGATGGGGGTGTGCCCCGCTCACAGGCCCAGGGCACAGAGCAGGTCAGGTTCCCGGGGCGGCCAGACTCCAGGGTCCCTGGGTTGAGGATGTCAGGTGTGTGGGTCAGGGCTGTGAGGAGATGGGAAGACACGGGAATCAGGAGGAGGGTCAAGGGGAGGCCCTGAGAGAAGCCTCAGGGTTTGGTTCAGCTCCTGCCTCTGAGTCCTGACATGGGTTACCCCCAGTCCCTCCCAGGAGGGGAGTTCCATCCCAGCCCTGCGCTGTGACCCCCGTCCTTCCCCTGTGGCCTCTCCTGGAATCTGCTCCTTACTTGTCACTTGAATGGAGCACTGGTTCTGTAGGTAACTATATTTCACATAAGGCCTTCTCTCCACCCTAAAGTAATATGTCCCCGAGTCCCTTCTCTGTGCATCTCTGATGTCCAGGGAGCAGTTGTAGTCTCGGAGGTCCCTGAGGAGGTAGAATCGGCCCTGGGTCTCCTCCTGCACTTTATGACTTGGGTTGTTTGTGGCCACTGGAGCATCCTGGTCTGCATTGGCCCCTTCCCGGAACCAGTAGCCGAGAGCTGAGGTAAAGTCAGACCCTTGGTCCTGGGGGTGCAAGAAGCTGCAGGGCATGAGCACACATAGACGCTCCTGCATGGCCACCGAGCCACGCACTTGCAGCCTGTAACCCCCTGGACCTTCCTCTCGGGCTGCCTCTGGCCATCAGCCCCCTCCCTCCTCCAGAGCAGGGCCAATAGTAGCAGGAGCATGTCTGGGCTTGGCAGTGCCAGGGTGCCCAGGGTGTCTGTTTCTCAGGGTTGGTCTCTCAGGAACTAAAAGTTGCAAGATTCAGAGGAAGCCCCGACAGGAAAATGCAGGTGATGTCAGAACAGTGACCCTCCTCAGAGGAGGAACTTCACACCCAGATGCTGTCAGGGCCAGGACAGCCATTGGGAATCAGCCATCTGCCACCACATGTCCACTCCTGGGGACCCTGGACCTAGAGGCCAGAGAGGGTGAGAGCCCTCAGGGAGCTAAATTCACCCCCTGTGCAGGGCTCGAGCCCCATCTCCTGTCTCCCTGCCGATACAGCCTCCCTCTGGAGTTGTTTTCTGCAAAGTGAAAACGGGTCCCTTCTGGCCAGACCCCCTGAATCGCAGGCTGTACATGTCTGTGGAAGTCACAGGGATACAAGAGATGGGGGAGGCCGGGGCTGGGAGTGTGAGGAGGCCAACTGTTCTCCCTCCCTTGGCATCCACACAGTGGGCATCCCCTCCCTGCTCATGAGGTCACACACTAGCCCCGGCCATTGACCCAAGAGTCACTGTCCAGTGGGGAGACAGCAAATGTCCAGCACCTGGAGCTCCCTGTGACAGGGGCCCAGAGGCAGAGTGAGGGGCTGCTGTCCCCCCGGGTTGGAGGTTGCGTTACAGAAAGCTTGGGCAGAGGGGACACTCAGGCAGTGCAAACAAAGACTCCAAAGATGTTGGGGGGAACCCAACTCAAAGGAGAGGGAACCTGAGGCTGTTATTGTAAGCGGGGTTGGTATGGGGAGAAGTGCAGAAGAGAAGGGGCAGAATTCGAAAGGGATAGAAGTGTCGGCTTTCCCCCTTCGTTGTGGCTGTCTGGCACCAGGATGATTTCTTCATCGCTGGTATCTCACGGGGCCATGCTCCTCTTCATTGCTCCAGAGCATGCAGGGTCTGGCGACCTCTGGGGTTTTGCCAATGCAGGGTCTGCTCCCAGGAGTCGGGTGTGCGGGGGACACAGAGTGAGGAACACCAGCTAGGTGTCATCCACCCTCAAGATGGTAGGGATTTTGTGAGAGAAGAGATGTGCCCTTGAATTCACAGAAGGTTAGTTTTAACTATGTGTCTGGGGGTTGGGAGAAGGCTCTGGGAATCCTGGCAGGTGGTACCCCCTTCTACCGATGTTGGTTCTTTTGACACATTTTTTGGGAGGAAAATATAAGATACACACAAAGAAGGATGCCCACAAAAACAACTCAGTGATTCATCACAATATAGAAATAGAGCATTGCAGGCATCTTGGACCTCCCCCCTGGGTCCCCATCCCTATTGCACACCCCACCCCCCCAAAGGAGCCCCGAGAGTCACTTTAATGCTAATTGTTCCCTTGCTTTTCTTCATAGTTTTATCACCCAAGCATGCTGCCTTTTTTTTCTATACTATTTTTTATAGTATACTTTTATACTATGGCCTTGTTTTTCTTAAGACTTTGTATGCATAGAAAAAATTACACTATGTTTTCTTCCATTTAACTTCATGAATCTGCCCATCACATATTACCCCTTCCCAGACCATTACCCATAATGAAGGGTACAGTCAGCGCTGGGGTCACTGATAAGGGAAGGGGCAGGATTTGAGAATGCATATGCACTCCCACACCAACAACAAGTCTTGCATTTGCAGTCCCCCCTGCAGCCCCATCCCCCCTCCCTGGCCCCCTGTCCTGGAAAACCCATTCTCTCCCACCAGGGTCAACTGGAGCATCTCTGGAGTCAAAAGGGCTGGACCATGCAGAGTCTGTTTCCGTGGTCCCCAGTTTGCAAAAAAAAAAAAAAAGCAGAATGAGAAGGAGAGACACAGGGAAGCCACAGAGAATCTAGCTGTATGCAAAAGAGAAACATAACCCACAGGCCATCAGAGCTGGGAGGCCTTCTAGCCCCACTTCTCCGACTTTCAGAAGACACTGAGGTCCAGAGTGGGCAAATGAATTGCCCAAATCATACAGGTGCCCTGTCTTATGCACCACCATCTACACAGGGACCCCCTTCATCAATCTTTGTCAGTCCAGAATTCATTGAGCTGGGAGATGGGTAGCTTATGTTAATCTGACAAGGAAGAATTATTAACTCTTCCCATGGGGTGAGAGAGGAAATTTCATTCATTCATTCAACAACCATCTACATTGTGTCTTCAGCTTTCCAGTAAGGGGGTGAGTATGAGAGATCTAGCCCTTTTCTTTGAGGGGAGCAATATCTGGTTGAGAGACAGATTATCTGACAATTCCAATGCCATAGGGTAGATGATTGGGAGGGGAGAGGCACAGGCTGGAGATGCGTGGGGCTCTTGCTCTTCTGGACTGCAAGGTGAGTTCTCAAGGACAAGAAGACATGGTAGGGAGTTTCAGGCAACTCAAGGGATGTGAATTCCACAAGTGATCTTGGTACCCTGAGAATTTCTGGACTCTCAGGTATTGTGTTCTCAACCCCACTCAGTCTTCCACTGTGCTGGAAATCTTTCTCCAGGTACCGAGTTTTGTGCTCTGTGACCAACATCACTTCTGCCCCAGCAGAGGTGGGGCCACCACCCATAGGGGGCGCTTTCTCTGCGCAGGATCCCTCCGAAAACGCGATGGTGCTGTCCGTGGTGCTGATTCAGAGGGCAAGGCTGACGTCGGGCATGCCCACAGCTCTGTGGAGGGGCCTGATCACACAGAACAGGGATCCTACGTCTGGAGTCAGGGCAGTCAGCATGTCTGATGTGCTGGGGAGGGCTCAGCTCTACCTGGGAGGGGAAACTCAGGGGAAAGAGAAGACCTGAGTCTCTCTTCCTTATCCTTCTATCCACCCTCAGAAATGTCCTACGGATAATGCCAGGCTATTGTCACTGGTCCAAGCGCAGGGAAAAATGAAGGTTCTGTGTTGCCCTTTTACATATCTGGTTCCATTTCATTTTCTGAACATCCCTGACAGAGAGGGGCAATCCTCCTAGAGGAGGCAGCCAACACTTAAGACAGATGAGTAGCTGTAGGAACTAGCCTCCAAAGACAACCCCCAAACAACCCCACCCCTCCTTTATACAAACATGAAGCTCCTCTCATTAGGAGATAAAGTTAATTATTATCTCCTCCTCTTGAATTAAGGTTGGGCCCACAACTGCTTTGATCAACAGAATGTGGAGGACAAGTTGTTCCAAGACTCATACATTAAGAAGGCCTAGTAGTTTCCACTCCTGCCTTGCAGATTCCTGGGCATCTGTGTAAGCAATCTGGGGACCTGATGGAGAGAAAGGCTACACAGAGGAACCCTGAGGGCCAGACACCCAGCCCCAAAATCTCAGCCACCATCTCAACCTCAACATGACTGCCTGAAAGAGCCGAAAGCAAGCTAGCAATGCAACTGCCCAGCTGGGCCCTGGCCAATTTATAGCACCAGCACTGTGAAACAGAATAAAAGTTCAGGCTACCAGGTCATAGGGTGGTTTGATGTGCAGCAATAGATAACCAAAACAGTAGCCCACACAAGTCATAGCTAACAGGGAAAAGGTAACGGGAGGTTTACTGGGCTGATGAATTTTTCTACTTACTGTATTTCAAGGATGGTTCTTAAATGGTGATCTGAGGCCTTCATTTGACCTAAGGACTACATTTCCGAGAATCCCCTTCCCCTTTTGCTTCCAGTTTTTTTTTTTTCCTAGTTAGACAATGATTTTATTGTTTGAGTACATAGTGAAATTTATTCAACCAGGGCAGAGGCTGTGGATGACTCATATTTCCAATTGAGGGGAGGGTGGACTCATTTGGTCTCATAATATTGAGCCAAGTGGTGAATATGGCTCTCGATCAGAATCAGTCAGAATTTAGCATCTTCATCCTTTCTCTTCCTCTCAAGATGCTTTTGAACAACAACAGCTTTCTTAATCAAATGGTAGAGATCCTCAGGAAGATCAGGAGCAAGTCCTTTGAACTTAAGAATTCTCAAGATTTTATTGCCTGTCACAAAACATACCTGTGCAACACCACAGGCGTCACTCAGGATCATGCCGATCTGGGGGGGAGTCAGGTCCTTCTTGGCCAGTTTGTAGATTTGCTCCTTCATGTCACCAGACACAGGTGGCCCAGAGAGAAGTTTACAGTGACATGCAAAGGATCTAGGAAAACCGTGTCCCTAGCATTTCTCTCCTACTAAGACATTGTCCCAGGATCTCTTTGACCTGACAACTGGGGCCATTTGCCTACTAACAGGACCCCGTCTTCCCTGAGCAAAGGACAGGATATGGCCCACCATCTCAAGACTCAGAATGACCAATGCCCAGCTGGGTCTGTCTGTCTGTCTGTGTGTATATGGTGAACATTGGTTTCCTAGGCCAGGATGATGATTAATTTTATGTGTCAGCTTGCCATGGGCCATGGGATGCCCAGATTAAACATTATTTCCAGGTGTGTCCATGAGGGTATTTCCACATGAGATTAGAATTTGAATCAGTGAACTCAGTAAAGTAGCTAACCCTCCCCGATGCCAGTGGGCACCATCCAATCCTCTAAGGGCCTGAAAGGAACAAAAAGCAGCAGAAGAGCAGACTCATTCCCTTCCTGCCTGCTTGTGAGCTGCGACATTGGTCTTCTCCTGCCCTTGGACTGGGATTTGCAGCATCGTCTCCCCTGGTTCTCAGGCCTTGGGACTCAGACTGGAATTACACGGTCCCCAGCTTTCAGGTGGCATATTGTGGGAGCTCTCAGCCTCCAAAATGGAGGTAGTTCTTCATAGTAAATCTCTGTTTGGTTCTGTTTCTCTGGAGAACCCTGCCTCATACAGTCAAAAGGGGGACAGGCAGACTAAGCCAGATCTCATGAGCCATACTTCCTACTTTCTCATTATTTCCATGAGAAATAGAAGCCACTGAAGGGTCTAAAGCTAGAGAATCAGGGAGTGAAAGGGTCAGATTTGTGTTTTCAGGTGTTCTCTCCGGCTGCCCTGCCCTTCTCTCTGTGTTGGAAGGACAGCTGGAGTGGAGTTGACAGCCTGGGGCCACTGATCATCTAGTACTGCTGTTGATGAGGGTTCCTGTCGTGAAACGCAGCACGGCCCTCATTCACGGTTGTAACCTCTGAGAATGTTGGGCTTTACTCTGCCTACAGTGGGTGATAAATAAATGCTTGTGGAATGCAGACCACTAAAGGTACAAATTTAGGGGGGAAGGTGACAAATCTGGTGTAAAATAGAAACCAAATTTTGAGTTAAACACTGTATAGTGTTAACAAGGGGACTCTTGAGTGGTGGGAAGACAAGACCCCAAAGGCTAGTCCCTCCATCTGAGGACTGAGACTAGGACAGGAGGGAAAAAGGATGGGAGAGGGGGTGGGTAAATGGGGAGTGCGGCAGATAGAACACAAAGGAGCCATCACAGGGTGTGTGGGCCAAGTGTTTCCAGGAAGCTGACATGATGTCCCATATCTGTCCCCCTGGGCTCCAGGTCCACACCTCAGTCCCATCTTGAAAAGGAAGGAGACTCAGCCCTCCTCCCTGCGGGGTCTCCACACCTGCAGAACCAACACGGGTCTCAGATCAGAGCTACCGCTTTAGTTGTAACTCCAGGCAGGGTGGGACAGCTCAGCACCACCTGGAGCTCAGGAGCCAATCCGCAGACTTCCCTGGAGAGGGACAGGCCCGCTCACCTGGTGTAGTAGATCCAGGTGAGGCCATAGGTGAGGAGGAAGCCAACCGCCATGAGGGCCCCTCTGATCAGGGTGATGACCAGCGGCCAGGAGCCCTCCTGCTTCTCAGTCACACAGTTGCAAGAAGAGGGGATTCCTGTGGAAGGGGGTCCAGAGGATGAAGCTCTGTCCCCAGACCCCAGTGCCTTCTATATCCCAAACACCTGACCAGACTGACCACGCCCAGAAACTGTATTACAACTCACTCTGCACAGAGAGGCTGAAGGAAACGTGCTGGGAGCCCAGTGGGTGCTGAGCCTGGCAGGTGAACTCCCCTTCATCCTCAACCCCTACATGGGGCAGCTCCAGGACCCCAGGTGCTGAGGGCTGGGAGGGGCTCAGGGCTTTTCCCTCCCAGAACAAGCTCAGCATGGCAGGGGGTTGGTTTGTTTG